TCTTCTTAAAGATAACTGCGCACACATCGTCCCAACCTCTCCTACGCACTAGTGAAGCGAAAATGAAGTGGTTAGAGACTTTTGTGGTCGAATCCTTTAGCTTAGATTTGAGAATTCTAAAGAATTTTTTCTAATTATGTTCCAAGTATTATGATCAACATCATCCAATAAAATGTTTTTTGTTTTCGTTTTTGCGAGTCCATTGAAGTTGTAACTTATTATCTCTATTTTAAATGCATTCAATCACAAATATATACACAAAATCTTAATCAATCACAAATTGAATGTTTAGGAAATCGAAGATCACGTATAAAAATTCAAAATAGTTACCTTCTAGCTACCGGCTAAAACTAGTTTATATTGGTGGGACGAAATTTAGAAACCCGGCCGATAATTATTGACTTATTGTAATTAGAAAATTAGGCGGAATTTCACAATTCATTAGGCAACTTAAGTAATTTGATCTAGTTATTTCTCACTTTTTGTTGTGTAATAGTAATAATTAAAAAAGTCAGCCACTTTATTATTTCATTTGGATAAAGTGTTGCCTCAGTCTCCTGAAATGGCCGGTATGCCCCGACCTAATGTTAGTCTCCACTCTTCACATCAAAGATCTCGTGTTCTTGAACTAAGGATACACTCTTAATTGGAGCATAAGCCATATGTTTCTTGTGGAAAAGTTATAAAAAAAATCCATTAGGAAACGGATCAAACCGAGTACTAAATTAAGAATATATAGGGTTTCCTCTAAACGGTACTTATTGGAGTTCATATGATAAAATTATTGTCAGTTAACATATCTCTTAAACCGGATTGTATTTTATTAATAGCATGTAACAAACTCTGTTTCGGGTAACTCAGAACATTAATGTGAATAACAAACTTTACATTCTCTCTCTTGTTCTTCACTCATCTTCAACATTTCTGGGTTGTAATAGTACTTACTCCCAAATCAACCGAACTATATTTCATCTTAATTTAGTTTCTATAGTTCTAAAACAGACAAGCCAACCCAAAGCTGAATCATGAATAACTGGACTGGACATTCGTAATTGGAATTTGACTTAAAAGATTAATCAAAAAAATATGAAATTAATTAGCCTAAATAAACTTGAGCGGGATGTTTTTGAAGTTCGAGGGCATACATACTTATTAGTGATTTGTTGCAACTGACTTCTTTCTAATGGACGTAATTTAGAAATAATTATTAATCAACTGTAGTTGTCATTCTGTCCACCCTTCACTACATGGGACCGGTCTAGATACCTAAACCGGGGTTGAAACCAAATCCCTAACCAGGACAAAGAAATGAGTTAATCGGAGCTCGTAGACAATATTTGATTCTGTGAGGAGGGGTTGAAGTAAAGAAACTACATTAGGGCAACTTTTTCATCTACGTCTTTGAATATTTCAAAGCAAATTTTGTTTGCGTTTGTATATCACGAGAAATTGTGTACAATTTAAAGAAATATAATGATTATTTTTTTCCATCAAATATCAGTTTCTTATGTCTTTCGTCAAACACTATCTAAATGTAATAATAGTAATACAAATAACTTATCATGCCTTTGACAGAATGAAGAACTTTGGTTAAACCAGAGAGTTAACAGAACATGAGTTACTTTTAAAAAGCTTTTTAATTAATGTTCTTCCGTTGCTTATATGTTATAAACATTTATTTATATTCTAATTAATTACATAATTTAATAACGTTTTGTTTTTATTTGTACTCCATCCTATAAACGGTGTCGTGCCAAGGTTTATTGAGGCTCAAGGCGAGTTAAAAGTTGGGACCCCTTTTTAACGGTAGTTCTAAACCAGATTAAAAGAAAACATTTACATAAAGTCTAAAACCTACAAAAAAAATACTAAAATGTTAACAAGAAAAAAAATCTGTGACAATTTTGTTATTTTTCTATGAATTTTTTAACTAAACTCTCATAAACGGTTTATTAATCTAACTTTTTTTCTATAGATATGACTAATATTTGGGATTTGGAGGCCCCAAAATTTGTATATTATTTAGGAGACCGAAGCGAATGCCTTTTTCCTAACACTATAGACACGGCCTTGCCTATAAATTATAAACTGCTTTCCCTAACCAAACCATTCCAAAACATCAAAGCAACAAGAAGTAAGAAGAAGAGATGGGAAACAATTCAAGAGCTATTGTCTCCTTAGTGTTATTTGTAGCCTTATGTGCTGCAGTTTTGATCACTCCCGGATTAGCTCATGACCAACCACCGCGCTCGGAATTTCCACTGGAATCTCCTATTGATGCGTATTCGAGCTCTACAAGTCAGATTTCTCCGGTCAATTTGGAAATGTTGGAATCGCATGTTGCAAAGCTTTTACGAACATAGATGCTAACTGTTGGCCTCATATGTTTCCGTTAAACCCGTTTTTTCCACCTCTTCTTAAGGACAATTAATGCGCACACATCTTCCCCAATTCGCCCACACGCAAGTAAAAGCAGGAATGAAGTAATGACTTGAGGCTTTATATATAGCCGAGTTAGTTTATAAGTTTAAGGAAATTCTTCTATTCATGTTCTAATAAAGTGAATTTTCTTGCATAGTCAATTGAGATTATGGTATTAATACTCAAGTCTGTCTTTGTTCACGAATATATATATAAACAATGTTAATAATACAGTTAGCTGAAGCTAGTACTTTAATTGGTGGGAAAATGCCGAAAGAAATTAAAATTTCACTGAAGGATACACAAGTAACACAACAAACACATATATAGAACATTAAACATGCGATCACTGTTGATCAAAAAACTACTTACAACAACCAAATCGAATATGTCAAATTGGTAAACCGAGTCCGATAACCGGACCCGAATCAAACAACCTCTTAAATCATTTATGCATCAGTGTGAGAAATTGACAATAATGAATAACCAAATGTTTTGTCCTTTGTGTGAAAAAGACTGAGATATAAACCAAATGTTTTGGACCACAAAAGATTCATTTCTGATTTTTAGTTTATTTATTTTTGAAGTGAAACGGCGACTTTAATGTTAGACTTGAAGGCACGACATTAAATTGCAGTTGATTTTAAGAAATTAATTGGAAATATATTTTCTTCGAATTTAAGGCCTTTATTTGACTTTGTATTATCCTTGTCGGAACAAACTAAGAAATAACATTTCCTTTAACAAACATAGAAGGTTCCAATCGACCAACGACCATTTCGTCTCCTCCCATATTTGACCCAATATCATAAAACTCAAGAGCTTTGTATATGATCTAATTTGCAATTGAGATATTACATTAAAAAATGTAATATTTTCGCGTATTGTATAATGGTTAAATCAAACAACACTACCGAATCATAGTTTCATCTAGTACTAGATATATAGATTTTTTTTTCCCGAAACTAATCTAAAATACTTGTAATAAAAACACATTTCCATTTTCGACCCAAAAAAAAACACATCTCCATTGGCCAATTTTCTTTTTTGAAATTTAAGTTTCAGTTGTAGTTTTTTCTTGATTGCGATTTTCATTTTCTTGGTCAGCATCACCCGTTACTCTCAAATGTAATATTTTTTTCGTTTCTTGCACATATATTTCCGATTTCATTTTCCCACCTTCTAAAAAAAGATCATTACCAAAACATTATAAAATTGCTAAAACAAAATCAAAAGCTTTATTGAGAAACAAGCCCATCTAGTAGCAGGAGAAGATGACGTGGCCGGCTAAATCTCCTCTGCCACAGACGATAAGGCCGGTCTATTTCGTGCAAAGCCCACCAAACACAGACGTAGACAAGATATCGACCAGGTCAGGTTTTAGCCCGTTCGGTTCATCTTTGAACCGGTCCGGTCAGAACAACAATTATAACCATCATGACTATGTGGCCGAGTCATCTTCGACGCCACAGTCCTCAGGTCCATTGAGAAACGGATACAGTAGTCTCCAAGTGCATGATCATGATCGTCGAATCAACGAGTATGATGATGAGGAAGATTACGATGAAATGGACGGTCTAGATCAGAAGAGGAGAAGGAAAACGAGGGTTTATTGGTGCTTGTTATTTACGTTTGTGTTGGCATTTACTCTCTTCTCTCTCATTTTGTGGGGCGTTTCCAAATCTTTCTCACCTATTGTCACTTTGAAGGTAAATTGATACTAGTTTGATAGTCTCAAAACATAATTTTTTGTGTTTCCTGGAAATTTTACATTTCTAAAAAAACATATTTTATGTTTTCAAAATTTTGCTTTTCTCAAAGTATAAAAGCAAAAATAGTTTATTTTTCTGTTTACTTATTTATAATTTACACACACACAAAACAAATCTAAAACAAAACAAATTTTCGATGACACTGATATCATAATCTTTTGCATGATCATCTTTCGTATTTTATTTCGAATTCATCATTCTATCTTATATTTCGTGTGGAATTATGAAATTTAGCTATACTTTTTTTTTTTATATCATCAAAAATATTTGATCTAACTCAATTTGTAATGATGAAATAAATAAACTTATTGTTAAGAAGAACTAAGAACTATCATTCCGCACAAACAAACCGTTTTATCATAAATTGTATTTTTTCACAAAAATGTGTTTTTGTTTTCTGTATATTCACAAAAATAATCAGGAGATGGTATTGGAGAGATTAAACGTGCAATCCGGGAACGACGCATCAGGAGTACACACAGATATGCTAAATCTAAATTCAACGGTCAGGATCTTATACAAAAATCCAGCAACTTTCTTCACCGTCCACGTCACCTCCTCTCCCCTCCAGCTCAGCTATTTCCAGCTCATCCTCGCCTCCGGTCAGGTAAACCAAATTCACACGTTATTGATTAAAACGGCCCGGTTATGATTCATGTGTAAATTCATTTCATTCTTCTGTGTAAATAGATGGAAAAGTTCTCACGACGAAGGAAGAGTGAGAGAATCATTGAGACTAAAGTATTAGGCAATCAAATTCCTTTGTATGGAGGCGTACCGGCTCTTTATGCCCAACAAGCTAAACCGGACCGAGTCGTTTTGCCTTTGAATCTGACCTTTACGTTGCGGTCACGAGCCTATGTGCTTGGCCGATTGGTTAAGACTACGTTCTACACGAACATCAGATGTAGCATCACTTTCCATGGCGATAAACTTGGCAAGACACTTGATCTCTCCAAGTCTTGCTTTTGATCATTGGTCAAATGAACAATAGCTAGAAAAATCAGTTCTTTTTTGTTTATTAGTGAAGATTAAATTATGAAAATAATTTAATACGTGAGGTATACATGTAAAGATTTGAACCAACATACATATAATGTTTTCATTAATTTATTTATACTATTAGATTTAACCAAAAATTCACCACCAAAAAATATGGGATTAAGGCACTTGTATTCCATGGCTATATCTAGACATGTTTAAGGGGTGTTTTTGGATATGGTCCGAGATAAATAAACAACAAAGAATTGGTCAATTTTGAGAGCCAGAATAGAACACTTTCTTGTGGGAAATATTTATTAAATAATCATAATTACAAAATCCAAATATTTCCTTGGAATATGTTTGTCAATAAATTAATGAGTTCGTTTAATCCAACTCGTAAACCCTTAAATAAATTACGTTAAGCTGTCTTCGTATTCTCCGATATGCCATCGAGACCAACTTACCAATCCAAAGATGTTTGGTTGGGATTCAATACGCCGTCGTTTTCTTGAACTCTATGCCTCTAGTGGGCATTAGGTGCTTCCAAGTTTTACCTCTTGTGTCACAAGATCCTATTTATGCAAGAACGATTTAGGGTTTGTAGAAGTTTGCATGTAAACCCTGCTCATCCAAACGCAAAGCCGAGGCAACCACAAGCAAGACGCTAAGAGAAGCGCCTAAGCAACCCACCAAAACGTTGAGATACCACATCGGGCTTTTCCTTTGGGGCTTTTTGATAGAGATCCACATGAAACACGGGTACGAAAACGTAACAGGCAACGCTATTGCCCCAATAAGAACCGCTAGGTAAGGCAAGAACGGGAATGTAACGGCTACAAAGAAACAAACTAATCCCAAGAACAAACGCAACATCATCCGGACGAAGAAGGAGCAAGGCTTTTGTCTCCTGGTTGTGTAGACCATCTCTATGTTGTCACAAGCCGGCATTAAGTTTATTGGATATGAGCATAAGCAATTGAAGATGAACGTAAGGTGTATGAAACAAGCGGCTCGTTTCGAGTAGTCTTGCTCATAGAGTTTCAAGTAGGAGCCCATAGGACCTCCCGTTGCTGGAATCTATAACATTGATTAAACCATCAATTGTTATAAACAAACCAAAAATGTAAATGCTAATACAATTAAACACAAGGCAAACAGAACCAAAGTGTTAGGATTTTGACGTACCTTGTCTCCGTAAGCCCAATATACAACAATGGACAATGGAAACATACAAATCGCGATGAACACATGAGAAATCACTATAGCTCTCCACATTGTCTTACTCGAAGGGTTCTTTGAATTAGAAGGAAGAGTACCCTACAAATGTCACCAAGACAAAAAAAGCATTCTAATTAATACTAATTCAAAAGAGAATAAAACTTTGAAAATGTTCATAC